TCCTTAACTAAAATAAATTGTTTATATGGCTAACTTATTTCACTGGATAAAGTGTTCATACCTAATTCAACAACAAAAGTCAATAAATATCTAAACTCAATTTAGTTTCAATGTGACAATAAAACGAAAGAGCTGCAATGTTTGGTAAATAAAGTTTGGATTAAGTTTTATACTTTATTAGTTTTACAAAATACTTGAAACACAATATGAAAAAGTTAAGAGCAAATTGTTACTAAAATACGTGAAGGTTCCTTTTAGATTGAAAATTTATTCAAAAATAATAAACTTTGTAAATTTCAAATCAGATATTTGACCAATTCTATCAAATTTTAGAAATTTTTGTGAATATAAATTTTATTTTAAACATTTTTATTTTTTATTTTTTATTTCTTATTTTAAATTTGATTTGAAATGAAATTATTTATTCATGCGTTTTGCAATTTGTGCACACGTTGCGATTAATTTCACAGATAACTCAACTTATATTGGGTTACATACGAATGAATGCTTACTGCAGATATATTCTATTCTCCAACTCTGTGGAGTTTGAACATATTTTGGTGTAGATGTTGTGTTATGTGTATCTCTGCACCAAACCACTAACTAAATCTAGTTATGCTTAAGGGATGGATATATTCTAAGATGATTTTTTTATTTCTTTAAGGTTAACAATGTTATAACCATGCACCATTTTTCATTGATGATATCTTGTTTCAATATATAAAATACATATACGAGAGTGAATGTGCATTAAGTATGCGGAAAAAAATCAAATAATAAACTTTTCATTTTCTTTATTTGGCTTGGAAAACTCTGCTTCTTCTTTGCTTTATGTTATTGCTCACATTTTCGATACTGAATTTGTTTTATCGCAGATAAACAGCACGTCTACTTGGTGCTACGTACTTTTTTGGATGCTCAGTGCGTTTTTCTTGAAGGATAAATCCTAACAGGCGAAACGTGTTGAGCAGGTGAATTTACACATGTACTATTGTGTGAAGGATTCATAGACACGTACGTTTAAATTGCATAAAATTTTTCACATTTTTAGTTAGTTTTCAAGCTGGAGAAATAGCCGAAGGTTTTTTGTTTATAAAATTTATTAAAAAGATGTCGGAAGAATGTAGTAATAAGGAAGTTGTGGAATTGTTAAAGTATTCCCAAGATGTGATTAGGTATATGATTAATTTATATTAATTATTGTTTCAAAAAAGTGTATTTGTGCTAAATAGTATTAATATTAAAAGCTTATTTTAAAAAGTTTTAATCCTCATTCAAAGTGAAGGGCATGAATTTACGTCTTCATGATAAATTAATTATATATACTATATAATGTTTAAGCCTGTTAATTACCATACTCTATATCGAATTTTTTAAGGTGAATTTATTTATTAGATTTATTAAATATTACAGCATATTACAGCATAGTGCCCAACAGTGCGGGTTCACATATTTTCGGTACTGTGGCTTAATAGAAATAATATGTCACACATTGCTAAAATAAGGCTTGTTTAGCTTACAAGTTAATAAATTTATTTAAAGATATCTATTGTATATATATCCATTTTATAGTAGTTCCATAAAGGCAATGCAGTGAAGGAATACATTGTAATTAGAATGTGACTTAAAGTGAGGGTTCATCAGTATATAAGTTTTACTCACTTTTTGTAATCTTAACGATGTTATTTTTTTTTTTAATATTTTTACTAACTTTTCAATTTTAAATTTATGAAGAAACTTAGTTATTGCAATCATTCAGAAAATACTTTAATTTGTATTTACATAAACTATCTTAAACTACTCGTTTCCTCGACATACTAAACTTCCAAATACAAGGGGGCACACAATAATTTAAGCTGGCCGCAGTGTATAAGTCATGAGGTCCTATCGCGACCTCATATGCTCTCCATATAGTCCATAAGTCATTTGTTACTGCAATGATGATTTTCTCTATGCTAAACAGTTTGTACATGGTAGTATGTATTGAAATATTGATTTTATTTATGTTTTGGCCATCTCAGCTGCTTGCTTGTTGATACTCATTCTCTATTTTACCATAAAACTCGATTTGACTGCTTTGAATTGAGTTTCTTTCATTGCTGTTTGATTGCTTATGCAGTTAGTTATATTCGAAGACCGAGTCATACTACTTTTCATTTATTTTTGCATTTTTTACAGTCATATATATCTTAAACTACATAAACGCTTCAAGTATTCGAGAGTCGGTATGTATAGGCATGCCTTTTCCGTCAATGAGCCATATGCGAAGACGGGAGCTCATGCATAACCTGTTGCATACCCCAATACCCAGTTACTCTGGTTGGGGAAAACGTTGGAATTCTAGTTTTATAATAGAACGTGTTGGTTTTTTTTTAGGCTGTAATCGATCTTAAACCCGCCTTAACTTACCAACCATAGTTCTATTTTATTTCATCCAAAATTTTACCAAATATTTATAATATAGTGTTTGTAGTTAGAAAATATTTTCTCTTCAAGCACATAAAATTTAATTTAAATATTTTATAAAACTTATAAAAGCATTAATAATAAAACAGTACCCTTGAACTGTTTGTTGCGTCTCACTGCAGACGAACACATAAAACTATTGCCCACTGTGACATCGTCGATGTTTATACTACAACACTCATATGTGCTCAATGTAAACTAAAATTTAAAATTCATATAAAATTGTTTAAAGGTAAAAATGTTTATGGGAGTTACTGGACCAGCCTGTATAAGTGTCGGTGAAAACATAGTCAACAACACATACTTTAGTGTTGTGTAATATAGGTACTCTCAAAGGATATCAAAGGAATTGAAAACACGTTATAAAAATATTATTCTACAGGCCAGTGAGGTTTGGAAAAAATAAAAAATTTTATCTCATATACGAGGCAATAAACTAACATTTTGGATCTGTAGGACAAGCAACTTAAATTATTTGATGGTAAAAATGTTGAATAATACAACCAAATCAGCGACCAAAACCCAAATGAGCCATTAGCATAAATAATTTCCAAGCTCTGTAAATGAAAAATGCTTGAAACGCTGTTGTCTAATGGAAATTGCTGATATTTTCAGTTCGTAATCTGCATTTTTGTATGTTTGATGTGCAGTTGTGCAGTTTGATATGTTAATTGATAATAAAATTTATGAAGCCTGTCATTTCATTTAAATTTTGCCAATAAATTTTACACAAACATAAATCATACTCGTTTACAACAGTTGCCCTTAAGGTGGCTTTCACAAAGTGCAGATGTCAGGTTTTTTGTTAGTAAACCGAAACCTCAGAGCCAACTCTATGTACGTTGGCATTTGGAGCAAATGCATTCTCGGTTGCTATTGTTACAATTGTTGTTGGTATGCTGCTGCTGCTGCTGCCAACCTACAGCCACAAAAGTGCCCAAATACGTCGGCAACATGTGAGATTGCAACGTGCAGTTGCAAAATTGCATATTAAATTAATTCATGTACACGAAAGTTAGTTTATGCTTTCATACGGGTACAGTACGAATTAAAATTTTTTCAATTTACCTTGCTTGAAACCTACAACGGCTGGACAAAATAAACCAGCGAAACGAGTGATGTTTAGCCACGTATTTAACAATCGCGTCATTTCCGTTTCCAATTGTTTAATCCTTTCATTTGAGCACAAAAATTTAATAAAAGGACTGTTCTGCAGTTGCAATGGAAAGTGTATTATGTGGTAGAATTCATGAGAAGGAGGATATTGTATAATTTGCCAGTAATTTTGTTATCGATAAGTACTCCATGTACTTTAT